AGAGGTTCGACACTGGCTGAGATAACGTTTATCGTGATGGCGTTGGTTGAAATGGCGTTCGTATTCTCTCGCCGTTAGAGGTTCGACTCCGGCTGAGATGACGTTTATTGTGATGGCGTTGGCTGAAATGGCGTTCGTATTCTCTCGCTGTTAGAGGTTCGACTCCGGCTGAGATGACGTTTATTGTGATGGCGTTTGCTGAGATGGAGTTTGTATTTCCTCATCGGAGAGTTTCGTCTCCGACTGAGTCGACGTTCATATTTCTCGCCGTTGAGTTCCGACTCCGGCCGAGATGACATTAATATTTCCTCGCCGTCGAGTTCCGAATCCGGCTGAGACGACATTTATATTTCCTCGTCGTCGAGCTCCGACTCCGGCCGAGATGACATTCATATTTCCTCGCCGTAAAGCTCCGACTCCGGCTAAGTCAATTAGCTACAAGACCGCAATTCCATAAAACTAAATGCATACAAGCCACGAAAAACAATTGGGTAACATAATATTGTCCAGTAAAAAATAAAACGACCCCAAGTAGGGTATTAACCGGACCACTTAAGGTCGTTCGGTACTGGACCACTTAAGGTTGTCCAGTCAAAAATAAAATGACCCCAAGTAGGGTAATAACCGGACCACTTAAGGTCGTCCGGTACTGGACCACTTAAGGTTGTCCAGTCAAAAATAAAATAACCACAAGTAGGGTAATAACCGGACCACTTAAGGTCGTCCGGTACTGGACCACTTAAGGTTGTCCAGTCAAAAATAAAATGACCCCAAGTAGGGTAATAACCGGACCACTTAAGGTCGTCCGGTACTGGACCACTTAAGGTTGTTCAGTAAAAAATAAAAAAGACCCCAAGTAGGGTAATAACCGGACCACTTAAGGTCATCCGGTCAAAAATATTGAAACCCCAAGTAGGGTAAAACGATCGGACAATATAAAGTTACCCAACGAAAACTAATAAAACCCTATAAGGGTAAGTCCGAACAACAAAAAGTGTCCGACGAAAAATAAAACGACTCTGCAAGAGTACAATCCAAAGGCCAAAGACCGGATACCAAATTATCCGACCAGGTCAACATAAAAAAATGCGACAAAAAGCCACAAAGACGGCTAACTTAGAATCAACAAACCAATCATATCAACGAGCATCTCGTACGAATCGCTAAGAATCCAAGGGGCCCGAGTGCCCGCACGAATCCATTCCATTGCCATCATTACAACAACCAAATCCAACAAGCCCGTCATGTTGGCACAAATGCAAAAAATGGGTACCAAATTACCCAACCAGGCCATTTAGGCCCCATTCAATAGCAATTCCAAAGAATTGTTCATCCATTTCATTGATTCGCACTCATCAAGCGTAGAGGTGCACAACCAACACAATTACGCCGGGCCATTGCCAAAAAAAAAAAATCGACAAAGCACGCATGGGTCCCAAAGTACCCAAAAATTGCATATCCACACGTGTCCATTCAACAAGCATCATTTATCATAGTGCAAAGAGTCTCAAGCTCATAAACTTACATGCAAAAAACTGCCAAATCGTATAATAACGCGACTTCAGAACAGTTCTATCAAGAACATGCCCTAAAATCGGGGGCCTCTTGTTGGTACCCAATTTGGCTACGACTAAATAAAGATACAACACATTAAAACATCATTTGTATTATTTTATTCCATATTTATTGATATCCATATATTGTGATGTGATGTGTATATGTACTAGAGGATCCAAGAGGATCCAAGAGAATCTAACATTATCCAAATAAAATCTCCAAAAGAGGAGATTACAAAAAGGAGAGATCTCGTAAGAGATAAGGGGCATTCTTTTCCCAATGAGCATTATGAATAAAAAACAAACTTCATCTTCATCTTTAGCTTCTTGCTTTTCTTTTCAAATATAGTTTAATTTATGTATTCTTTACACAAAAAAAGTCACGAATGGAAGAGGGATTCAACCCATATTTTCGGAACAAATCTATTCGTGCAGATTGAACAGAGTATACAATTTAGTATGCGGTTCACCCCCTGTTGCTGACATTTTCGAGCATCAACAATTTTCTTACACACTTAAGTAGTAGACCACCACACACACACACACACACACACACACACATATATATATATATATACATAAATATATATATA